ATGGATTGTAGTTACCTCACTTCTTCCGTCTCGTAAATAATCCAGGAACTGCTGGATGAGACATAGAAATATCAGGCAAAGCTGTACTTGTAGGCATGAACTGCATGAAAATTAGCCTGTTAACTTGGCCTAGTCCCTTAAATATTATTGAAACAAAACTGGAACAATCCAGTTGGGTCATGCAGTGAGATGTGTGATTTATGAGGGTGAAACCAGCTCATCATCATCTTAATGCCATACTACTAAATACACATTACTAAATTTGATATGTCCAGGAGCACACTGACTGAAGGCCAGCATTCCCAGCTAATTCAGTGGCTTCCACTGTTTTTCAAACATATTTCATCACCATAGAAAAAGTGAAGAAGCACTGCTTTGGAAGGTTTCTCTGCTGGCTACAGAAAAATGTAAAATTGAACAGTCATAGCTAATATAATGTCATCTCACAGAATCTCAGAATATCCTGAGTTAGAAGGGACCCACAAGGACCATTAAGTGCGACTCCTGGCCCTGCATAGAACCAGAGCCAGGGACAAGCATGGAAATGTTTAGACTTTCCCTTCTGGAGAAAGGAAGGGCAGGAAATGGTGTATGACTTCCTGTCCTTCATCTACCTAAGTTTCTGTGAGGTGACCTTTCCAATGTTAATTGAGTCAGAGTCTGAGCTGTGACAGGAATAATTCTTGAATTCAAAAAAAAGCAATAAACATATAGACACAGTTCTGAAAGCTTAAATTGCTCTCCCTGATGCAGAGAAATACCTGTCCGCTAAGGTAAATGCCACCAAACAATGCTGGATTCCTGTCAAAGTGGCAGCTGATGGCCATTCTGGGAGTGTGACTACCAATGGTTCAGAGCTGCCAGCTTTGGCCAATTTGTTTCTGCGGCATTCAGGCAGCAGTTCAAGTTGGCCTCTCAACAATTCCAGGGACTGACAGGTGGAAAATCCTTTGTCCATATCTCCACTGCTATGAGCAGGGACACCTCCCACTCGAATTTCTCCCATGCTCTTTTCATGGGAATTAAATAAGGACAGGAACTTATAATTGTGGCTTGCAATTTTCATGCTTCTCATGAACAACAGCCAGCAAGGAGAATGAGCAAGTGGTTTATTGGTATGGAATTTGGAAAACCCATGGTGTGCACAGCACTCTGCATCCAAGTCAAGTGACATCTGGTGATGCATCAGATGACACCTGGAGTACAGAGAAATTTGTGAGGATCACCACAGAATCCTAGAAAGTGCCCTTGGACCTGCACAGAGGACCTGCTCCATTACAAAGCCAACTACAGTTTCTAGGAATGATATAATCATGTGAAGGGAGACCAGGCTTATATTACCAGCAGCCATCATTTGGAGGATGTAGCTGAGCTGTAAACAGATAGCATTAGCAGGGTGAGCCAGAGTTCACCTGTGTTACAGGGCTCTGTGCATGGCATTAACTGGGTTTGATGCAGAGTAGTTGGAGGGATGGGAAGCCAGAAATTCCCTGCAGAAGTGGGATGGCCAGGAAGTTCTGTGTCTGAAGCATGGCAGGAAGTGATCAGTCTCTAGGGACAAATTGTCAGAGTTGGTGGGTTGGATCCTGGAGAGATGCACAGCAAGGAGGATCCCTGCTTGCTACAGCAGAACTGGTGTGTGATTCTGCACTGGCAGAGGAACCACAGTAGGGTCTCAAAGTGCTCCATTTGGAGGAAGGGGTGCCTCGGTAGGGATGGGATTAGTAGGATGCTGCAGGGAAGATCTGGAGATCATGGAAATAATGTCAGCATCAGCAGATCTCCATCCCCTTCCTGCTCATCCTTGACAAATACACTCCATCTATATTCTCTCCTCATTCCCTGCCCCTAATGGTACAGGGAGAGTCAAACAGCTCTTATTTTATATACCTGCCCTATGACTCCTGAGGGGGAGGCAGTTTGTCTCTCACTAGAACTCTGGAAACATGGGGAAAATGAATTTAAATACAATGTTTTGGGGTCATGTTCTCTGATGGTGCAAATCAACACTGCCTCAGTTAATTCAATTACCAGTGCTGACCCTGGAGTCATAAATATTGGTGAGTCTCTCTCTCTGAGCTCTGTGGCAGCATGTGGAAGATTTTTAAAAGAGCAATTTTCCACATACACCCACACACATCCACACACACACACCTCCTCCCATTTTTCATAGAATTAAAAAAAATCCTAAAAAAAAGTTGTCAGTCTTTGGGCCAAAGTTCTGGAACCGAATATCAGCTGTACTGACTGCCAGACTGCATCTTAGAGCAACCCTCACTGGATGCACTCAACTGTCTCATTCAAAGGACTTTTTTCACATTAAAAAGCCTCTTGAGTTTGATTAACAAGTGACAAATAAGCTGCTCCAAGTCCTTACAGGAATTCTGAAGGATAGATCAGTGTGGGGGCATGCAAGGACTTTCACTTCTTCTTAGAGGAAATCCTGACACCTCCTATGCATGGCGAATTGCAACAGAAGGATTCATATCCACAAAAGAAGTGTTTCCTGTGCATTTGAGATGGCAACAACAGACAGGATTCCCTCTCAGCATACATACATCCTCTACAAATGCGTGGGAGTCCCAGAAGGTCTTGGCGTCCACTGTTTTGAGAGGTTTATTATTTTGGGGGAGGGACAGACTTAATTTTAGTTTGTAAATGCAGCAGGTCTCCTCCCAGACACTGACAGTCAAAAGCCATGAGGACTGGATGTCATTTACTGTCATTTCTCACAAGAAATTGAGGACCAGCACAATCAGGGTCAGGTACTGAAGTAATAACCTCTTTCACAGTAACAACCTGTCTTTCATTTCTAGTTCCTCATGCCTAGCTCACTTGAGCAGCTTCAGATAAATCCTAATTATTATAGAAAAAATTCTAAGTCAACTTAGTCAAGTGGCAGAAATCCCAGACTGGTAAGAGGGTTGAAAGGAAAGAAAGCAGTCATTTCTATGCAATCTTTCCCTCAAATATGCACATAGGAAAAAAAAAAAAAAAGGAAATATGATAAATAACTGGTCTTCATTCAGTCTTTACTTGAGAGTTTTCTTGCCTAAATTTAATAGTTGATCACAACAACAAATATCAGCATGAACAATGGCACAATGGCAGTTGTGTTAAATATCCAAGTCTGTTTTTCAGAGAAAGGTTTCTGGGGGCATTTATCCTTTCTTTTCCCATTCTCTGTCTCTGCACTAGCAGAAAATGCAGCGTATTCCCCTGCCCTGTGTGATTTTTGACTAGATGCTGGGAAGCATTTCTTTACCAAGAGAGTGGTGAGATCCTGGACCAGGCTTCTGGAAGGAGTGGTCAATGCCCCAGGTCCATCATAGTTTGAGAGACATTTGGACAATGCCCTTAACCTTTGGTCAGCCCTGACGTACTCCAGCTGTTGGACTACATTATTATTGTGGGTCACTTCCAACTGAAATATTTTCGTTCTATTCCATTCTATTCTTGCAGTCATTGTCTTCTCTGTGAATAGGGGAAAAAGAGGGAATGAGGGTCCCAAGGATATGGCTGTTCCCTGAGGCTGTGAGCAGCAGATTTCAAGTGAGCTGGATGCCAGAGCAGTCCCCACATGATGTTAAGGAACTGCAGATCAACAGTGGAAGACATTGACAGCACTGCAGAGGCTGTAGTCCCAGGACCTGCCTGACTTGAACCTGGCTCAAACCAAATGCATAAGCTGCTCATGAGCTCTAAATCTGGTGTTTAGGTTTGAAAGCCAGAAGGAACTTTCCTTTCTCCCTGCCTTCCCCTTCTCCTGCATGCAAGCCTTTTGCCTCAGTGCCTTTGCTGTGTGGGCTGGGAGCAGGATGCTGGGAGTGGGAAGTCAGTCTCTGCTTCCCACTCTGCTCCAGGATGGGAACAGGAAGGGTGCCACTGGGGTGGGAGTGCCATCACTTGCCTGTGGAGGCTTCCACTTCCAGAAAAAACAGAATCTGTGTTTGCATGCAGGGCATCTCTGTTTTATGTGTTCAGTAGCTGTACTCCATCTGAGTGTGCATGCTGAACAGAATGCTGGTAGTAGCAGAAATTCCATCAGCTTGAGGAGAGTTGTCCCTTACCTATATCCATAAGCTAAGAAACTGAAATTGGGGTGGGGGGGAGAAAGAAGCTTGAATTTTTTCTAGTGTCCATATGTTTTATTGCATGGACTCCAGCAGATCAAGGGATGAGATTCTGCCCCTCTGACCCGCTCTGCTCAGTTCCCCTGCAGAGTTGCCTCCAACCCTGGGATCCTAGCCCAGCAAGGACAGGGAACTGCTGGAGCCAGGCCAGAACAGGGACACCAAGGGGATCAGAGGGATGGAGCAGCTCTGCTGGGAGGAAAGGCTGAGGGAATTGGGATTGTTCAGCCTGGAGAAGAGAAGGCTTTGGGGTGATCTCATTGTGGCCTTGCTATGCCTGAAGGGAACCCACAGGAAAGATGGAGAGAGACTCTGGACAAGGGCCTGGAGTGACAGGACAAGGGGCAATGGCTTCACACTGACAGAAAGGAAGGTTAGATTGGATATTGGGAAGAAATTGTTCCCTGTGAGGGTGCTGAGGTCCTGGCACTGGGTGCCCAGAGAAGCTGTGGCTGCTCCATCCCTGGAAGTGTTCCAGGCCAGGTTGGATGGGGCTCTAAGCAACCTGGGGTAGTGGAAGGTGTCCCTACCAATGGCAGGAGGGGTGGAACTGAATGATTTTTAAGGCCCTTTCCAACCCATACCTCAGCCCTGGGTGTCCCTGTGTGCAGGGAGGGCTCCGAGCAGGGCCCAGGCTCTGCTCCAGGGCCCAGCAATGGCACCAGAGGAACGGGCAGGGACTGAGGCCAGGAGGTTCCACCTGGGCAGGAGGCAGAACTTCTGTCCTGGGCAGTGACCGAGGACTGAACAGATTGAACAGAGAGGGTGTGGAGTCTCCTCACTGGGGATATTCCAGACCCTTCTGGACACAATCCTGTGCCCTGTGCTGCGGGATGGCCCTGCTGGAGCAGGGAGGTGGGACCAGCTGCCCCACTGTGGTCCCTTCCAGCCTGACCCATCCTAGGATTTTGTGATTCTGTGAGTGCAGGTGTTCTCATAATCTGTGTTAAAATCCTAACTTAGAAGCCACTTATAAACTCAGTGTTAAATTCTTGGTGTGTTGTACAGAAAGTGAGGAATGAGGGGAAGTCTCCAGAGCACAAAAGCTTTAGCTTGCAGTCTCCAGTGAGACAGGAGGAACACCTTTCTTCTCAAAAAAGGTGTAACAGGATCAGAAAACGTGATACTATATACATTTCTGTGGTGGTCTGAGCTTGTCTAAAGGATATTATTGGTGTGCATATCCATCTTGCATGTGAAGGTAAGGACTTTCTAGAAGGGCTAAAGCAAGCTGCTCATTGGGGAGTTAGTGCTGAAAATGAAATTTGGGTGGTGGATCTCATCCCTAGCTGTGGTTTCTGGATTGTTATCACCTCCCTTTTTTCTGTTGGTTCCCCATGTTTTTTGAGGGAGGGGAACAATTTGCAATGGAGGCACGCTGAGGTGCTCAACCTCCACTACCAGAAGGCTCATTTTTGCTTTCTGTTAAGGACAGGAGTTGAGTGCTCCTTCACGTGCAACAGGCCCCGGTGTCCTGTGAAACACACGGGCCCAGGAGAAAGGCCTGACCTGTGCCTCAGCTGGTGTCTGCTGGCGTCAGACCAGCCCCACGTGCTCAGAGCAGCTGAGGGAGCCTGTCTCTGTGTGCAGAGCTAAGCTGTTTGCCTCAAGGGCAGCCTCAGCCAGGCTGAAGGACTTAGGATGAGATGGATGCTTCTGTACTTCCCATGTAGTTTTTTTAAATGTTTCCATCAGTCTACTGCTATAGCCTTGAGAAAGAGGAGGGAAGCCTTCCCTGATGACTCCAGGGGTATGTGTATCCTTTAACAGCCCCAGGAAGAGAATGCTGGCTTCCCATAGTAAGGGTTTCCTGGAGGGAGAAGCTGATCAGCTTCCCAGGGTCACCAAGTCCTCTGGCACTTCTGCTTTGTTAGGATGAGTGTGCCAGGGACACCGAGGCTCGGATGGTCTCTGTTACAGCCCCAATTCTACAACTGGGGAGAGGCAGCATAATTCTGCTTTACTGCCTTCCCCTGTTTGAAGGCTCAGCCCAGAGGATTTGTTTATCAGCTCTTCCACATGCCACATTTCAGCACGAAAATTCAGAGTGTTACAATGCCAGCGAGAATGACGTTTAATTTTAGCAGACACCTCCTTGCTGTGTGTGGGAAGATGGGCTTTGCTGGGCGCTGAAGCGCACAATAAGGCTGTTATCGAACATTCCCATGCTGGTGGGAATTAGAAGCAGCACAGTTTTAAAAATCAGCAAAGCTGTGCTCACTTTAAACCAGTCTGCTTTCCAAGTCTTCACATGGGGCATTTTGCATTTGCTGTCCCAAGAGACAAATGGAAGACTGAGGGTCATATTTTCTCTGGAGCCCCATCAGTTAATATCTGCTGAGCCCCTGACTGGGAATGCTTATTCCACCAAGTGTGTCAGATTTGCTGCCCTGTTTTGCAGTAACTCGTGCAGTGCCTGAAGCAATGCATAAAACCAGGGCTGGATACACCAGTGACCAAGCAAAAAAAGGCTCAGTTCCTTGGGAAAGAAGGACTTTTTGGATCACCTCTACAGAGAGGGAGAGGAAGGGAAAGGAAGGGAAGAACAGCGCGTGAAGGAGCTGTGCAAGAGCGGGTGCAGAGGAGGATGAGTCACCTCCAGGCTTCAGCTTGGGTGGCAAGGGAAGCGCTTCCACCTCCAAAACACCTCCTCCCCTTGCTTTTTCACTGCCTTGCTGAGCTCAGGTTCTGCAGTGACCCCCAGATCTGGGCTCAGAGAAGGACAGTGGCAGTGCCCCAGCATGGGAAGGTCAGGGCAGGAAAGCACAGCACCTCCTGTGGGGATGTCACAGCCCTGTGCCATCAGCAGCTGGCAGAGGACTGGCCACGGGGCTCTGGGTAAGTCTGACTCCCTCATGTTTTATGTAGTCACTTAGCACTCAGCACTGGGGGAGGCAGCACCAGCAAATCAAAGCATCTCCAGGTCTTTACACTCACTTTGCTTGCTTGATGTCCCACACAGAGAAATTACCTCAGAGCCCTCAGCCAAGAGCTTCACAGCTGCATATTGCAAGTGCTGCCTCAATACCCAGCACTGGGGCAGCAAAAGGGATATCTCCCCTTATTTGAAAAATGACACTCAGGCATAAAGTCTCAGCTAATTGTCTGGGCTCTTCTGGGTGCTTTATTTTGTCAGTACAAAATCAAAGCAGTGCTAACTGGTGATTCATGGCAAAGCTGACAGGCACAGTGACTCAACTCCCAATAACACTGGTTTGTCTCCAGAGTCTCTGGGGTTGCTGAAGACATCCAACTTTCAGGTGGGTAAATTTAGGTGAGAAGAATCATATCCCAGGAAGCAATTTCTGCTGCCATCTCTTGCCTTCCTCTGCAAACATCTCCAGCGAGAGGTGTGCGGTGACTTGTGTAAAATGTTCTCTTCACAATGAAGCAGCAGCTCTGAAATGAATATTATGAAATGTCAGTGGCTCTGCCCATGGACCGATGGCCAGCTTGTAAGAGAGTAATTATTTGACCTGGACTGGGGGATGTCAGGCGTAGAAAACCACAGTCTGAATGCTCAGCTTGTTTTTACCCACAGAAATTCACTTAGAGACAGATCTCAGGGGTTACTCTGAAATCCACAGAAAAGTTTCTGTACAAGCAGAAAATTTGCCTATCAGAGCAAAGCAGAGTGATCAGGTGGCCAAATCAATATGAAAACTAGCCAAACCAAAACAACCTCCCCCCCAACATGCTATAAACAGCACCATTGTTTTGGAAATACCCACCTCTTATTACTTTAGAATAAAAAGTATTTCTCTGATAGCATTAATCCTTCATGCATAGGTGAAGTACTTTTTCCAGACCACTAACACCAATGAAGATGTCAGATATGCTATGCTATCAAAACAAATGCACAAACACAGTAGATGTAAATCTTTATTCCTAAATTTCTATTTATTCCTAACTTGAAACCAGCTGGCTGGGTGTCTGTTCAGTAAATCCCAATCTAAACAATATTACACAAGAGATCAGTCCATGGGTTTTAAAGAGAGCTGGAGAAAATTGCTAATATTCATAAATATTAAATCAGTTGCTTATTAAGTGTTTTCTCTTATTAAACTGCTGAAAAGTTGCTTATTTGAACTTGTTCTGCCATTGACAGAAAGTTGTCTTCAGAAGCTGATATTAAATACATAGAAATGTCTTTACAATCATGGTGCAGGTTTGTACTCATGGTACTCTTGTGTCACTGACATAATGTAGAGTTTTCCAAATGTGCAGCACATTACAGGCCTCTAGTGGTAGAAATGGAAAAAAAAAAAAACAAACTAGCTTAGGATCCATCTTAACTGTAACAGTTCCTGATGGTACTAAATTCCAGTCTTAACAAATTATGTAATGCTTTCTGTTTATAGATTTGGCCTTGTAATTTGCTCACCTGAGGGAAATGGAAATTCAGCAGAGATCAGAGATGTCAGTGACAATTCTCTGTTAATTTGAAAGAAAAAAAACCCGAGAAAGTAAACCAAGTTTAAAAAAAAATAAAAAGAAAAGCACATGGTGCACGGCCCTAGTCTTGCTCAATTAATTAATTAATTGCAGTAGCCAAAAGAGGTAGAATGCTGCGAGTCTGGCAGGTTACAATCATGCCACACCACACCTGCCTGGGCTCCAGACTTACCACCCTTTTTTCTGCCAGGTCTGCATGGGCACAGGACTCTGCCAGTCCATCTCAAAGCCTGGCTGCTATCACCTCCCTGTCAGATTCAGGTGAGAGGTGTCCAGGAGCATCCTCCTTTCAGCCCTTGCAAAAGGAGCATATCCTCCTGCCAGGGTTGATCTCGCAGCATTTAACGTTTGATTTACTCAGCACAAATTTATTTATCTAGCACAAAGCACAAGGCAGTGACTAAGCAATCACCACAGGGTTGTTTGGTGATTTGGTTTTGGTTTTCTGGGTTTTGTTTTGTTTTGTTTGTTTTAATTGCAAATTTTCACTAAGATTACTAATAATATTCTCAAACTCTTAATTTCTGAGATAAATATGCAAACTTATACTACTCAAAACTCTCGGCATTTTATATGTTTTTAAGGGAGTTAACACTGTGGAGAGGAGTACTATATGTAAAAAAACAGAAAGGTGAGAAGTGACAGAAGTGATTGAAGGTTTTTTTCCCCCTGGGTATTCTTTATAGGAAAATGGGGTTTGGTCACTGGTTACTGCATTTTGATGGAGAAGTAGGCAAATCTGAAAGGCTTCAGAAGAGATCAAATGAAATGCTGTATACCTGGGGACTAAAGAGCTGTGGAGGAAAAGCTTAAGGTCATAAAAATCTCTGTATGAACAAAGACCATGGAAGAAATTATGGCAGAAGAGGGTGAAATTCTGTTGAGGGTGGCATTCAAATCAGAACATCCATATTTGGCAGTGAATGCATTCCTTTAAGCATCATCTTGGGCTTAAACATCTTTAGGCCCTCTCTTGGATCTATGGAAGGGACTTGGATCTATGGAAGGTCTCTTGGATCTATAGAAGGTCTACTGGAAAGTGTCCCTGCCAATGGCAGGGGTGTTGGAACTCGGTGATCTTTAAGCTGCCTTCCAACCCAGGCTATTCTATGATTTACACTCGCCAGTCCTGTCCAGGGAATATGTGAGTTGAACCACTTTGGTACAAATAGTGCCAACATTTCTCAAACATTCCCTCTCATGACCCACAGTGAAAAAATCTTTAATTTAGCACCAAAGTCCAGTTGCAGGGCATCCTGAGTGACATCTCACAGCAGTTCTGCAGCTTCCTCAGGAGAGGAAAAGAGGGGCAGGCTCTGATCTCTGCTCTGTGTGACCAGGGACAGGACCCAGGGAATGGTTGGAGCTGGGTCAGGGCAGGGTCAGGGTGGTTATCAGGGAAATTTTCTTCTCCCAGAGAGTGCTGGAACACTGAACAGGCTCCCCAGGGATGGTCACAGCCCCAAGGCTGCCAGAGCTCCAGGAGCATTTGGACAATGCTCTCAGGGATGCACAAGGTGGGATTGTTGGGGTGTTTGTACAGGGCCAAGAGCTGGACCCAATGATCCTAGAATCAAGAGAGTCTACGATCCTATTGCTAAATCAACTCTTAGAACAGATTTCTTGCCGCTATTAAATGTTCTCAAGTATAGAAGAAGAGACTGTGATGCCTGAAACATGGCTAAAGACTCATGGCTACATGGTAAAAAAAAAAAAACAAAATCAGGTAATAAAATAACTGGCATAAGTCCCTACTCCACAGCAGAGGTGATTTCCTCATAGTGCTGAAGGGTGGGTTATTCTATTAATTTAGGGCCACAGCTGGTCTGTCCTCTCTATGAGAAAAGGCTGCCATTCATGGGGTGGAGACCTTGCTGCCCCCCTCCCACAGTGGTGAAGGAGTGTCACCTGCTCCCCAGGACACCACTGTGAGCTCTCAAATGTGACATGAGGCCCTTCTCTCATCGCCTCTTAGTGCTGGCAGCTGGTTTTTGGCTAAGACATTGCTCCTGCGGAAGGGGCTGGGCAGGTGAGGCCATGAAATCCTGAAGTGAACACTTTTGTAAGCAGATGGAAGGGATCTGTTGGTGACTTGTGTGGAGGGCAATTCTGGCACTGCACAAACCAGCGTGGTGACTGCCTGTGCTGGCATTCAGCAGAGTCCTAAATGCGTGCCTTTGGAGATGCTTTTCCAAGGGGCAGCTGGAAGCCTCCAAATATCTCTATCTTTCTTACCTAGTTAGCACAGAGACGGAACTATCAGCCTGGAGCTCAGCAAATTATCCTAATTTCAGTGCACAATCTCTGAAGTCTTAAAGAAACCCATGAGCCATGTAAACATACTTTTGCAAAAGGAGGCCCCTTTTTCTTCTGTCTGCTTTCTTTATATCATTAGTTTGGGCCTTGCTAGCTACAGTCATTATATTATATTCTAATTGTCTAAATCTCCTGACAGAAAGTCATTAAAAGGCTTCCTTCATCTGCTCTGACAGATGAAGACAAATTGTACACTCTCCATTTTTTTAACAGAGTGTGTGACCTGCATACTCAGAAGCAGGTTTCTTTCCAAGGTAAGTGCCTGCTCTGTACTCCATCGTGTCTCCTGCGGCAGAGGTCAGTGGTTTCCTCTCAGAGGGGTGGTTTGTTGCCTTCAAGCTAGGAGAATCCTCTACCATTGTGTTTTTCCCACACTGGTGTGTAGAAGACTGTGTCTCAAAGCACTGTGCGGCAAGAAGGACTAACCCACAAACCAAAGCAGCATGTACAACCAATCCCAAATGGATCAGTTCCAAACTTCTCACAGTGGTCAAGATAAAAAGGAAGGATGAAGTCTGTTGAAGTACCTTGAGCTAGCCCACATCATCCCTCAGGATTTGGCCTGTAGCCTGACAAGACTAGTGCCTGTAGGCCAGGTTAACTTTCCCTAGAACTTCATGCAGTTGCAGGAGAATAGAAAGCAGGAGGAAAGGAAATTCCTGTGTGCTACTCTGGCTCATTTGTTGCCACCTTTACCAGGACTATACTTGCCAGCAGCAGCGATGATATTTACAGTTCTTGTCATGAACAGATTACCTTTCTGTAAGGATTCCTAAGAACAAAACAGTAATTAAACCTCATAATGCCTTGGGGAGTTGCAAAGGAGTCATGTTACTTTTATAATGCAGCTCTGCAGCTGTTTGACTGTGTATGGCACTTCTATTATTGACTGATTCACCACAGGCCCAAGGAATCTGAACTGGAGGAGTCCCAACCACATTCTTTTTCTGCAATAAATTGCAGAAGACTGGCAGTTTTTTCTCCAGTCAATCACCCACACTGTTTTCAGAGAATCCCAAAATGGTTTGGGTTAGAAGGAACCTTAAAGATCATGCAGTTCCAACCCCCTGCCTTGGGCAGGGACACCTTCCACTATACCAGGTTGCTCAGAGCCCAATCCAACCTGGCCTTGAACAGAGTGATCATGACTTTGACAGCAATACATAAAATCCATTCAAAGTCCTGCCCAGTAGAGATGTTTCCATTTTTTCCTGTGTGGAGGAGTTTGTTGCCTCAGTAAGGATTTTATGTCACTGTCTTTTGTCATGAGTTACTTTAACTTAAGGTGAAATTTTCTATTTTACACACAGATAGAGATTTAGGATGGATCACAACAAAACTGAATCTTTTTTTGCTATTGTAAATATAAGGAAATTTCAGGAAGGTGTCTGCTGTTCTCCACAGAGTAACTGCTTTAGAGGACAGAGATCAAAACAATCTGTGCTGCCTATTGGCTCCAAAATTCACCATTGGAAGTTGGAAAGTTGAACTGCTCATTTTCTGGCTCCTATAAATATCTGTTCTATTTGGCTTCCAGATCACCGGGAGCATCTGTACCAGATCATTAGAGGAGGAAAGAGGATTTTGCATCCTCAATTTTTATTGCTGCCATAAATACTTTGGTAGTCATCGCATAGGGAATCAGACTCTGCAGAGCCTGCAATCTGCATGTTAGACACGATCCAGTGCATTGCAGGCATGGGCAGGAGAAAGGGAGGAGCAGGCAAAATGGGAATAAAAGGTGAAGTGGAAAGAGCTGGGGATACATCACAGTCTGGTTGACCACCAGCAATTTGCAGGCATAATTAGGGGGAAAGGTTTGATGATAAAAAGGAGCCATACTAATTTCTGTGGGGACGTTTCTCCAGGTGTAGGGCAGGAACAGAAGGGGATGAAAGCATAGTACCATCCCAGAGGGATCCAGATCAGTTTAATCTGGTGGACACACCTTTGCAGAGGGAGGATGATATGGGTATCTGCCAGGCAAGCAAAAAAAAAAGGAAGAGTTGTCCTAGACTTCCAGAATCTCCATGAGGCTAACAGATGTTGATGTGGTAATTCAGAGCATCTGATTTAAAAAGAGAATACATTATTTTCTTTCAGCAGCAGCATTACAATTACAAGAACATCCTCTTTCCTACAGTGCGAACCCCAGACATTTGCAGGTGGCCTGGACAACATTTGTGCTTCGGAAGAAGCATCTGTTATGACTGGCTTATTTGATCAGCTGAGTGCACATAGTGGAGGAATATCAGAAACTAGAGGGGAGGAAAAAAAAAGGAAACACAATCTTTATAATCCTTTCTCCAATGGCAGTGGATGTTCAGAGGCAAGTTCTATTAAGTGCTCTCCCTTCAATAGGAACAACTGGTCAGAATTAATTTCTCAGCTCAGCGCTGTTGGTGGGTTTGTGTGGGAGTGAAATAGAAGAGGAAAGTTCTCAGAAGCACCGAAACATTCAAGTATCACCAAGAGACAGGTACATGGAGATTCTGTATTTCCTTGATTAAATGGGAAAAAAAAAGAGACAGCAGTCATCAGCACTGTGCTCTCATTACGTGAGTACTGCACTAATTATAGCAGGAATTCAATCTGTGCTCTACCCATGGCTCCAGCATATTGGAGATGCCATGAGGTCTGGGTTTGGAGATCCACAGGCTGCATCTATCGGATGATCAAGTTTGTTCAGTGTTCTTTGTAGAGCTCTAGGACTAGAACAATATTCCTGGCACCCCTTGGATGTCTAAATGAAGACTCATTAGCTTCTCTTTCTTTTGGCTTCTCGCTCCTTTAATGCCAACATCTTGGCATAAAAACCTTGTTGCTACCATGATGCCTAAGGTTTGGTTTTTGGTTTGTTTGGTTTTTTGTTTTTATTTTTGGAAGAAGTTGTTATAAGCCAATTGATCAATACATAATCTTAAGCTCATTTCTGGGAAGTTTTTGGATGATGCATTAAATTTTGGGATCAGCATTAAGTCCCTTCTCCTTGTCAGTCACAGTACAATTTTGAAATAACGCTGATTCAAGACATGCTGAAAAGACAGCAGATTTTGAGATGAAAGCCAAAAGTTTCTGAGTTCTCTAGGCCTAGGAGTTACTTGGGAATGTATTTTGGAGACAGGGCTCCCACAACCAAGACTAATGCTTAGCCATAAAGGTACATCACGAGAGAAGGTTCTTATCTCAAAGAAATGACCAAGTAAGTATGAAGGCTGACAAAAGGTGGGTCTAAAAGCAAAGAGGACTCAATTCAGATGCCTGTACATAGGTAGGTGTCCAGTGCCACTGGAGATGCCTTAAGATAGGTCTGACGGTAATTTACACAAGAGTTGATGCAGTCTCCCCAGTTCTATGTACAGAGACAGTCTGCTCAGTAGCTCTGCCAAAAATCCCTTCCTGTAATCTCTTCTAAACCTTTCAAGGTCTGTGCAGTTGGTTGCATGGAGCATAAGCAAGGCAATCAAGAAACAGAATCCCTGTGCCAGAAGCATCTTCAGCTGCTTCACTGGGCCTCTTAAAGGCTTCTTTTTGCTGTGAGTTTGGATTTTTTTCATGCACAAGAACTTTGTGGATTAGACCCAGATGTACTGGAAAGTTTGGTGAGGTCTTCAGAGTGTCTTAGTGTTGGCTGATTGTCACCTGAAACCACTGCATTTCCCCAGAAGCATATATAAACTGGTAATTGCATATAAGCAAAACTAACTCAGCCATTCAATTATTATTCTGTATAAATTCTATATCTGTGAAAACATTTATTATTGTTTTCCCCATTGTTGAGAGAGTACTCATAAAGCCAGCTGTCATTTATTTCTGTTGCAAGCAATTGAGAGCTGAGGTAGTTGTTTAAAAGCACGAATTAGAGGAGATGACATGAACCTCCCTTGGCAGCATATTCACAAAGATATTATTTCAAGAGTTCAGAGCTTGCTCTGGAGCACATTTGCCAAGGAGCAAGGTAGTGCTTCATCTGCTGGAAGTGTGGACAATACAATCCTTGGACTTCTCCTGACTCGTAAATGTGTTACCCATAAGCAGTTTGTTTAGCAAGAGTCCAGATGTAGATATGAGCTGAGGAAGAGATCTGTGGGTTTGTCACCTTCCTTCCTGTTCTGTGGCATCCTCAGCTCTGATATTTACCTCTCACTGAAGCCAATTCCATGCATAAGTTACCAGTATTTTTTATTATCTACATATAATAAACTACATCTGAATATCTGCATGCATCAAACACTTGAGCAGCTTGATCCACTTGAATTGCATAGGAAGCGAATTTGATGCCATTCAGGAGTTCCAAGGGCCAGGTATGTGCATTTTTCGCCCCATCCCTGGAAGTGTCCAAGGCCAGGCTGGATGAGGCTCTGAGGAAGCTGGGCCAGTGGAGGGTGTCCCTGCCCATGGTAGGGGGTGGAACTGGATGATCTTTGAGGTCTCTTTCAACCCAAACCGTTTTGTGGTTCTGTAATCTGCCAAGTCTCTGCTGTGGGGTCCAGAGCAGCACCATGACATAGCCTGTGTATCCAGATGAGCGTGGCCCCCTGCTCCTTGCCTTTCTCAAGCATTAGAACAGGTCTCCTTTGGTAATCTGTCCTTTTAGTACAGTTCTGGTTGGAAGCAACAGCAGTACAGGACCAACGAGCAAAAGCTGCACAGTCCAGAAGCCCTCAGGATTGTTCTCCTGATGATACTTGCTATTGATAATGATTTTGTGGCAAACACTTCTAAACTATGCGGGAGATAGCCAGGTTTTTCACTGGTTAATATATTTTTCCATCTCGATGGAGTTGTCTGAGCTGTCACACATTCTGCATAACTGAGTTCCTTATTACTGTGCCTGTCATTCATGTCCCTGCAATCCCCTTTTTTCTTGCCAAATCACTGAATTAAAAACCCAATTCACTTTGGCACTAAGAGCTCCCCTAATACTATTTCAGTGAAGGAGCAATTTTGGGGGTTATTCTTCTACTTAGTTCTTGCTGAAAGTAAAAGTTCTGAGGCTTTTGTGTGCAGTCCCTGCAGAGCTGCCCTTCACAGTTGTGCTAAAATTCATCAAAGGACACCCATTCCCGGAGTGTAAAAGTACCACATTGCTGAGGACATCTCTCCATCTGCCAGCCATGCTAGTGAACATCTGCAACAGCACCACTGGGAGTACTTCAGGAAGAGGGAAGGTTTTAAAAAAATGACATGGGTTTCATGATATTAAAAACAAAAATCCAGTTTATGTGAACAATAAAATAGTTTGCTCCAAATTAAATTTGTGAAAATTCACTACAGGTGATTATTTTTTCACCACGGTAAAAAATATTTGATGGAGAAGTTTTGTGTCTGTAATTCTGAGTCTTATACATCAGTATAAATAACTCAACAAACATTACTTAAACTACCTGATAGATATAATAAAATATAGTCCCATCTACATGTGACAGATAGAAAGCACTGATCTGATTTATCACTTCCATTGATTCACACAGATAAATCACTGAGCTCTTTTTAGGACTGGGGCACCAAAAATACAGAAATGAAACCTGCTAGTTCATGAGCAATTAGAAAACTTCAAGGAAAGGTCTTAATAGAAAGCTCTGCAAGAAAGAAAAAAACCAAAACAACACCAAAAAAAGTGTGTAAAGTTCACTATGATTGTAAAGTTCACTATAACTGTAAAGTCCACAATAATTGTCTCCCTGACCCTGGGTCAGCAAAAACCCAGTATGCTACCAAAGGTCAGTCAAACCCTCTTCTAGACTGGATTGCCCTTCTAATGCCCTGACCCCCCAAATTCAAAATCTTCATCCTAAATCACCTTTCCCAAAAATATTTGTTTAAATACTTCCATGGTTTCCATAAATTACAGAAATGCAGTAGCTGTCCAACAGCATCAGCACGTGATATCTTTCAATTAAAAACTCCCAACACATGATCTGCCTAATTCCTAAAGCTGCTTTGAAAAGCTAATCTTTGGTGTTTTGCCCTTCAAAAAGGTTTGTTATGGATCTGGTGACAGACACAATACAGTGGTATGAGAAATGGTACTACCCTCTAGTTTATTTGGAGTTTGCTAATGATCTGTGCCCACTGGAAAAAGAAGAGGATGTATCCACGCCCCAGGTGGCCCCAGGTGATGAAGCTGAACCCCATCACTTGGCTTTGGACTGTTTCTTGGAGAGTGGGGGTCCAGGGTCCTAGTTCTGCATTGGTCCCCCCACGTGGGACTGAATCACTGCAGCTCTCTGCATTTTCCCTCGATGCAGTTGCTGGAGATCACTTGGTGTCTCTGTCACACCCCTCCAAATATTCTCCTGTCGTTAAAAACAGTGACTCCCCGAGGGACACAGGCTGGATATGAGGGGATGACTCCAGCTGAGTTTTCCCTGCCTTGAGTGACTGAGACTGAGTGAGAGCAAGTGAGTGAGTGAGTGAGTGAGTGAGTTCTCATTGTTCTCTATCCCCTCATTTGGTGGTCTGGACTTATTTTGAGCACTCAAAAGTCTTGCTGTCAGCCCCTTGTGCTGGTCTGAAGGAGTGCTCCAAACAGACTGCTTTCCAGCTGTGATCTTTCGTCTTTTACTGTCTGCAAAGCTGTCGTGGCATGTCCTGCAGAAACCTGCAGAAGAAATGCTGGCCCGGGTCCCACTTGGCCGGGCTGGGCTCCTGAGCATGGCACTAAAGGTCAGTGGTTCATTCCTGTGGAATCCCAGGAATCTTCTTCATTTGTTTCCTCCTTCTTTCCAGTCCCCTAATCAGATAAACCGTGTGGGGAGAGGCAAGAGAGCGAGGGGAGGAGTATGTGATGTAACCTCTTATTCTGGCTAAATTGCGCGATAACCCCACGGTGCCTGTGGCTCGCAGTGGGGTTTAGGTGGCACCTCTAGGAGACTGAAGAAGATGGCCTGAAGATTCACCACGGCTGTGGGAGACCTCGCAGGGGATGCACTCACCTCCTTTGTGGAGAGGAAGGCTGCAGCTCCTTGTCTTGCCGGCTCTACCTGCGCCACGAGTGGCTGGGGCAGCCCTGGAGAAAGGGATGCTTGGAGCCCCTTGCGCTGCTGCGGTGAGTCTGCTCCTCCTTCCTGCCTCTTCCCGATGGGTTTGGGGGGAAGGAAGAGGAGTGAGCTGGACTGCGTGTGGGTTTTTTGGGGACTTGTAACCGTGTGGAATCCCTGAGGGATTGACTCTGAGCCTGCTGATAATCGCCGACTAATCCGGGCGCTGGCAGAGTCCATCCGGATAACAAGGGCATGTGGCTCTGAGTCAGGATAGGTGTGACACCTCCCAGGGGTCTCTGGCTTTGTGTCAGAGGAACACCCGAGAAGGACTAACTGCAGGAGAGAAATTTGGGGATGTCTGTCACTGACACAATGTGGGGCATGGGTGTCACAGTCCGTGAGGAGGGGTAAAAGGAGAAAATGTACTTTTCTCAATGCCAGCAGGAGATGAACCTGGAGGACGCTGCCCCTCTGTATTTGCTAATGGAGAGAACTGGATCAGGTAGCTCAAGCTGTTGAAACTAACTGCAGAAAAGTGTTTTCTAGGAGAACTTCTAAGTGCCTTTGAAAACATCTCCCTACTAAAGGAAAGAAGGGAAGAGGAGGAGGATCATAATATGTATGAGTATTCTACTTTATATACTATATTAAAGAATCTGTCCAAGATAGAACAAAATTAATGTATAAACTGGGGCCTCAGAAAAACCAAATAACCAGCTCTGTTAACACCTCTGGAGCTGCAGCAGTGCTGAATGAATCCCTAGCTGCCTTCCAGCACTGGGAATATCTAATACTACCTGTGGAAAGATGCAGTTATGACACTTGATGTTTGTCCTCACATGAATGTTGTGCCGGCACTGCTTTAGGAAAAAATGCCATGTGACTGATTTCCCAGTGGTACTGGCAGTTCCCTCCTGGATCTGGCAGATCACATGCAGCTGCTCAGAGCATTTTTAGAGGTGAAAACTCCATGCAATATCAAAATCTGGAAATTAAATAATAAATTATTAAAAATTATTTATAAATAAAATCTGGAAGTTAAGTAGCTAATCATTGGGGGGGGGGGGAGCTTCTCTTTCTTCCCTTTTTAAAGGACACTTTAATCCTGGTCTAAAATTTAATTTTTTTAGAAAGCAAACTATTATCCTTTCATTAGCTGTAGTTCTTTTTCTAAAGAACATCCTAATTCCTGACTCAGTCAAGTTAATTTCTTTCCAGAACTTGGGATGGCTTCAACTTGGCAGAAAACTCAGGAATTCTACAACTGGATTCTTGAAAGTGGAGGTAGGTAGAGATGCTGTCTAAAATGGGAATTTCTGCATCAACAGCATGATCATGAAAACCAAACCTAAAAGGAATGCAATCCTTACCCTAGCCCACACTTTCCTAAATAAGAAGATTTCCACTTTTCCTTCTCCATGATCACAAACTTCCCTTAAGTCTTGAAATATATCTCATTGACCCTCCAGTTGGATCACGGTAAGGAATGAAGGGACGAGGAATTTCCCAGTGGACAAGGAGCAATAAATGCCTGAGATTTTTGAGTCTGGAGTACTAAAGAATCTGAATTTTTTAAATGTATATTCATGTGTCATGAGAAAGCTTAGTTGACTAAAGAGTTAATACTTTGGGGGGTTTAAACTCTTTGTGATGCCAGGAAAACCTGTTATCAAATGAAATATTGGCAGTAACCACTCCTCAGTGCTTGAGATTTGACAGCTTGCAGTGAGGAGACATCAGATTTTCATTAATTAAAGGCTCAATTTGATTCCAAAGGGCTGTGATGTATCTCTGGATGTAAAGAAAAGCCACAAAATGCCATGAAGGTAGAACAGCAGGCTTGCAGGAGGAAGACATGAGGCATAATGCTTAGACTTTACATAATGCTCAGTAAATGTTTCACGACTTAAATTTCACAAGAAAGTGTAAATTGTGATTCAGGACTTCTGATGAGCTGCTAAATCTAGAAATGGAATGTCAAAGAGCTCCTAACACAGCTCATAACAGCCATCAAAAAGAAGTGGAAGGTTTAGAAGGGAGAGGGATTAACAGAGTTGTCCAGACTGGTACAGCATTTATAAAAAAATGAAGGGGGTTGACAGAGCAGTGATCACACAGCAAAGGAAAGCATGAATGGTATCTGGGATGTTTTTGCTGATATAATATATCCTGGATGACAGCAGGATTAGGAGGAGGTGGCATGACAGAAAATCTCTTCAGTTTCCCTTTGCTGTAGTACCAAAGAGCTGTTACAGCAGCGTAAGTGTTTTGGCATTTCCTAGTGAATTCAAGCTTCTTAAGAGAGCCCACTGTATGAGCAGATATAAAAATGAAGGAGTGGAGAAATTTAGATATCCTGAGGATTGTAAGGACAGGACTGAAACACCAAGGACTGAAACACTTTTATTATAAAATTGTAAATTTACATTCCTGAGGAGCCACTGTTGCTATGGCTGCTCCTGTGCCTCCCTGCACAGTATCTGGGATCACTCCTTTCACCCAGGGAGGGCTCCAGTTCATCCCAGGAAAGATCTGCCTTCCAGTACAGCAGTCGATACCCAAAAATTGGGCTAAAACCTTTGTGCTAAATCCTTTTGGCAGAATCAGAGCAGAAGGACTGAGGTGCAGCTTTGCAAAGACACGAAGACACCAATTTTCTTTCTGCAGCGAGTGCACCAAAGGGAAGTATTGAAATACAATTAAATATATCCGTCCCTTGCTGTGTGGAGGTGCCAGCTGTGGCTGTGTGTTTTGCTTCTCAGATCCAAGGACAGACCCGTGGCCACTGGTTTACTCCCCACTTCCAGTCACCCTGATCTTCACCTCCTACCTCTTCATGGTGGCACTGGGACCGTCCTGCATGCGGCAGCGGCAGCAGCTGGAGCTGAGGGCTCTGCTACTCACCTACAACCTGGCCATGGTGGCATTATCCAGCTACATGTTTTATGAGGTGAGGAGGTAGGACTGGCTCCTAGGTAAGCACCTGAGAAGGGTTTGAATTCCAGAGCCTCCAGATTCCAGGGTTTAAACAGCTTCTGCTGATGGACTCTGCTGAAGGGAGTGGAAGCTGGCTTGGACATGTCCATGTTTTGCCACAAGAGGAGCAGTATTGTCCTGCTGTGCTTGATTTCCTCCCATTTCTCAATATCCCTGCCATTCATGAAATTAACATGGAATTTCATTCATGCTGAATGAATGAATTGCAGGTTGAGAATTCCCCATTAGACACAGATTTTGTGGAGAATGTGGAATGGTCTCATTTCATCTCAAGTCTGGCTGGTGATGGATCCATCTCTGAGGATAAGAACCACTGGACTAGTGGAAGATGTCCCTGCCAAAGGCAGGGGTTTAGGACTAGGTGTTCTTTAAGGTCCCTTCGAACACTATGATTTTCCAAAGTTGGCAGTTCTCTCCAGGAGTGCCAAGCACTCTCTGTCTTCCTGCTGCTGAGAATGTTAAGAACTTATTTTTCTGCTTGTTCTTAACACATAAGCATTTCTACAAGCCTTTCCCCCCAAGTTTATAGGCCACTGAAAAGTCTTTGAGGGAACATGGCCAAATAGGTTTCAAAAACATTCTGTTGCCAACAAATATGCCCTTTTAATTTGTATTACAAGTGTTACATCAACACTAATTGCTTTTGGATTTTTTTAACAAATGCTGCTCCATCTGAGGACAGGTGTGCAACTTGCTTTTCTGCACATGATTGTTCAGTTCTACTGGTTATTTGGTCCAGTTTTTGGCTTTCCAGTGAACAAGCAAATGAACCTACCAAAGCAGAACAGAAAGATCTTTGCAAAGGAGAGCAGTGTTTCTCAGAGAAACTTAGAAGCCTAGTATTCCTGCTGAAGTAGTTTTGAGCCCTCCAGTGATTACACAAAGAGTTACAAATCTTCCCAGGCCCAATTTGCATTTTTTGAGATTTCAACCAGGATGTGAAGTACTTTGTTTTAGGTTTTTACTATGTGTCCCTGGATTTTCTGTCAGTACTATAAGACTGAAACCTCACTACCTTAGCATTAATATGTCCATCTTTTTCGGAACAGATGGCATTCAACAGAAAACTGATTTCTATTTGCTTTTCATCTGTTTCAGTTTCTGGTCACTTCAGTCTTGGATAACTACAGCTACCTGTGCCAGCCAGCGGATTACAGCCGGAGTGAGCTGGGAATGAGGGTACAGTTCTGGAGAAAGCTTGCCTTAGGCCCTGCCCTCCCATGGCTAGGCAGATCCTTTTGCTCATAAATAGCAATTTGCATGGCTAAGAAGGCTTTGATTCCAGTTTGTTGTTGCCAGTAAATCTATTCCACTAAATTGTCTCCTTCAACAGTTGTTGTGCTTTGCTTTAGTTCTCTAAAATTAATCATCTCAGTCAACCCAGCAATCTAAGTTTGCTCTTTGACCATTGCAGAGAGGGTGATCTTACCAGCTGAAGTATCAATATTGCAAATCAATTATTGAAATAGATGTGATTCTTTGCATGGATTATAAGGATTCTGGGTGATCTCTTTCCAACAAGAAAACTGATTTTTATATCCTCTGCCTTGTATGACAGAAATCTCACTTAACCCTTCTTTTAGCAGGGGGGTTTAGCTAAAACTATTTCTTGGTCATCACAGGGGTTTGGGTCCCACCAGCATCAGCTTTCCAAAAATGCTGTGTGAGTTTTTTCTCTTTGAATTTGGAGTTACAATGCAAGCATCGTATTATCTTTTCAGTTTTTCAGAGTCCTGCCATCTGGCCAAAAAAAAAAAAAAAAAAAAAAAAAAAAGGACCCCTTAATTTTCCCCCCTTGCTGCAGATCCCGGGTGGACAGGTGGCAGGGATACAGCATGATTGAAAATGTATTGATCTGGGGTAAAGCTTTAACCGCCGTGCCTTGTGCTGCCCAGCAGATGGCAAGAGCGTGTTGGTGGTTCTTCTTCTCCAAAGTCATCGAGCTGCTGGATACGGTAAGGAGGGTTCAGCTCCTCAGCGGGACCGGGGCTGCACACAGATACTTCTTTGGCAGAAAGGGGCAGCGTGCCAGAACTGACGTCCTGGGTTGATCACATATTGATTCGCTGCCTTTCTCCGTCCCTTGGCTGCACACACTCCCTCCCCAGCACCCTTCCTGAGGCTGGACACAGTGCTAGGGGAGAGGCTTTACCCCTGGCTGCTGCCAGGTGGGTCCCCAAAATTTTAGCTGCTGGTGCCATACAGGTTCTGCTATTGCCTGGCTGGCTGATTAACAGTGGGGCTGAAGAGGAGCTGGACAAGTCCTGGCATCTCTGCTGCCATGGATTTTCCCAGAGCTCTGCACTAAAGGTTTGTGTCCTGGGGGAATTTAAAGTCCACCTCTTTACAGCTTGTCGTCAGGTGTCCTTCTGCACTGTAAATGAACTAAGTGACTGGACAAGGCCTCTGCTGGGCCAGAAGACAGCTGTGTCCCAGCCTGAAATTTCTGAGCTCTCTGGGGTGTAAGTTGACAACCCACTGAAATGTGAATGAACATGTGGATCCTTCCTAGGTCTATTGCCAGGGTTTTGGCTGATCCCCTCTCTGTTTGCATCAGCAACAAAACAGCTTTTTGCCAGTCCTGAGTGCCTGAAAAGCAGATTCACTTTCTGTTGTGTGTGTATGAATGTGCATGGGGAAATGCAGTGACCTGACATGTATTCATCTGGCAAAACCCTTCTGCTTACTAATGCAAATTCCAGGAGGGTTTGGCCATTCAACACAGTGGATTTTCTACGGGTTATTGTCCGGTAGCAGTAAATATACAAGCTATGTCCTGAAAAGGAGCAGATCCAAGCAGCTGTGAATTGTATGGAAGCTCAGTCAGAGTCTCAGATGTGTCCTCTTTGGACTTTGGGCCCTGAATCTAGACATAAAAATATCTGGGGCTTTGTGGAAGAAATTCTGTCTTCTAGCTCCCCCTACAAGTTCTATTGTGTTTCACCAGTTTTTGTCAACAGCAGAGGAAATGGATTTGGGAGATTCAGACTCATAATTAACTATTTTTATAACTTTTTACTGTGAATTTTTTGTCTAGACACATCAACTCAAGGTTTTCCTTTGCCTGGCTTCTTTCAGGTTTTCTTAATTCTGCGCAAGAAACAGGAGCAGGTGACTTTTCTGCATGTGTACCATCACGGCTCTGTGCTCTTCAGCTGGTGGTCAGGGGTCAAATACGTGCCTGGAGGACAAGGTATGCTTGTAAGAAATGCTGCTGCAAGAAAACCTTGTGTTTCTCACAGCTTTTTTGGGCCATAGAGGTAACATTAACAGTGCAGATGGGCTGAATGGCAGGTAGGAAGCTCACCTACTTCCAAAGGTGAGAAAAACATGCATTTCAGATGATCCTATCTACTCAGCTTTTGGGGCTGTTTAGGCTGCCCTGTTCACTACCTCAACCAGAATAAGAGTGTGGCATCAGAGCGGGTCCAAACAGAAAAAAATAACATCCCACAGAAGGTCACTGTGTATCTCCCCCCAGAGCAGTGCTCCCTCTCTCTCCACTCAGAGGCCCTGGGGCAGCAGGCCAGGTTCTGGCTCTGTTTCCTGCTGCGACTGTGCCCATTTCTGGGCTGTATCCAGAACACTGCCCCTTTTTGCTCAACTGGAAGAGAAGCATCTGTGTACTAAGCATCTGGATACTCTGGTAGGCCTTATACAAGATGCTGGGGCATTCTTTTTTTGGGAAGTCATTTTGGCTACACAGCCTTGACACCAGAATGGTGTGAAATGCTTACGGTCAGACAATCAAAGTCTCTCCTCTGCCTTTGAAGCCCTTCTCTGTCTCTGAACACTTGATATGGGATGGGTATTTCATGGATACACCAACCTTGGCAGTGTTCCAGGCCAGATGAGATGGGGCTTTGGGGCAACTCTAGTGGGAGATGTGCCCTGGGGGTTGGAGCTGATGGCCTTTAAGGTCCCTTCTGACCCAACCCATGCAACGACTCTGGATGCTGAAGGAAGGGAGAAGCTGATGTGCTTCCACAGTGACCTGGTTTTGCATGGGAGGTATGAGATCCCAGGCGGAATGTTCATGCACAGAGGTGGATGTGGTGTGTTTTAGAAGCATCATCATAGTGGCTGTTAGCCCTTCACGGGGTTAGCCTGGAATGGGTCGTGTGCCTTGTTCACCCTCACTTTCTCACTCCTCAGCCTTCTTTGTTGGGATGCTGAACTCCTTTGTCCACATCTTCATGTACAGCTACTATGCCCTGGCCAGCCTGGGACCGCGGATGCGCCAGCACCTGTGGTGGAAGCGTTACCTGACCATCCTGCAGCTGGTAATTAGCTCCAGGTGTTCACCCCTGCCCTCCCATGGCTCAGGTGTGATGGCCTCTGCTGTCTGTCACCTCACTGGCTCCATTTGCTGGCTGTCCATGGAAGGCAGCACGTTCCCAGGTGCCACTCTGAGAGGCAAAGCCATGGGTGACCTGTTTCAAATGCTTTCACAAGACTATCAGAGGCCTTCAGTGACCATCTCAAAATAATTATCCCCAGCTTTGTAATGGGAAGGGAAGATAAAAATTTAAAAATTGGATTCCTCCTTTTTATGGAGGAGGAATGTGGAGAGGAGCTTTTATGGAGCTTGATGTGGAGAGGTAGGAACAGTGGTTCAGGGAAAAATGGATTCTCAATAAGGCAGCAGACTGGGGAGCCTTGATTCAGTTCCTTCAGAAAGGAAGAGGGTCTCTAGCTACAGGCAAACAGGCAAGTTAAAGAGAAATATGTGAATTTTACTCTTTCTCTAGAAAATCCCTTTGGATTTTCTTTCCCTCATCTCTGATGAAGTTACAAATCTGGAAAACCCCATGTTTTTTTAAAGATTCAGCATAAATGCAATGGTCCAAACAAGGACAATGGTTGTAGGAGAGATTTTTCCACTCAAAGAGAGGCTTTGCAAACCAAAAGTATGCACTTACAAGGGAAGAGGAAGAGGATATGTGTAAAAAAACACTGGTGCAGTGAAGACTGCTCCAGAATTCTTACTTAGCCTGCATGGCAAAACAGAACAAGAAAGCATTGCATGAAATAAAAAGGTATATCTAATGCAACTTATAGCAAAGGAAAAAAATATTTAATAGCTCTTTGGTACGTAGAACTCATTGCTTCAGGGTATTGAGACAGGTAACTTAGTAAAATACAAAAAATATTAATGTTGAATGTTTAAATGAATAAAGGTAGTATCTGTATTTCCTCTCTGCAAATTAAAATACAAATCAAAATAATTATGGGTATAACAACCTGATTACCACTGGGGAAGAGGAACCTACCACCTTCACTTTTCATATTCCAGCATCTCAGTTACTGCACTATGGCAGAGAAATGGGCCAAGGGCAGGAGAGACAGGATTGGTTAAGCCTTCAGGTTTGATGGACATCTTTCCTGGTGGGAAAACACTGCTAAAATTGAAAGGAAGGTTTCCAGGGATGTCAGGCGAGGCAAGCAGGTGATCCTGTGGGTTGAGGACACTGCTAGGATGTTGTGATAGCTGTGATGGTCTCAATGGCCAGCTGAGGTGTATCTCATTAAGGTTCCCTAATCTCGCTGCTTCTTTTTTCCACCTCTTCCAGTGCCAGTTTGTGGCCATTGCTGCTCATTCCTCCTACAACCTCTTCACAGAGTGCCCGTTCCCTGATGGCTTCAACACCGCAGTCTTCCTCTACATCCTCAGCCTCCTGGCTCTCTTCCTACGCTTCTACTATCAGACCTACGTCAGGGGAAAGCGGGAAAAGCTGACTTGAAGGAAATCAAAGAGGACAGAGAGCGCAGCCTGATGAACATGAGCATTCTCTGCTGCTTGTGACATGGTTCCAGGAAGGAAATGTATCTGGGGAGTGTGTGTGAGGCCCATGTCTAGCCTTCAAATATCCCAGGTTAGGGAGAAGAAAGGAATGATGTAAACTCAGGGATTAAGGAACTGAGGAGGCACACTTAATTAAGCTGAGGCCAAGCTAAGCAAAGTCGTCACAAGCATAACAGGCTTTGGGACATTTGCAAGATAAGGTCTTTTTCCCTTCCATCTTTAACTTGGGGTCCAAGGTCTAGCAGCCAGCTACAACTCCCTGCCTCATTTCTTAGGCTGTAGAGGGTTTCTTCGCATCCACAGAACTATCTCAGCTTGTTGTTGTAGGTCAGGCAGGGTCATGTGCCTCCAGCTGGAAATCAATGTCCAGGTAGCAGCAGCAGCCAGGAATCCACAGGATGTACGCTGCATCCCACCCGTCCTGCTAAGGAAGCTCCTACTAGACCTGGGGTGGTCCTGATGGTTTAACTTCTTATCAGTATAAGCAGCAAGGAAATTGGACATTAGGTTGTCTGGCTGGACAGGTGTCTTCACTGTCTTGAAGCTAAAGAAGGCATTATTAGCACTTTCATCCTAATAAGAAACCAGTGCAGTAAGAGTCACCATGTCCCATTTTCTGGAATGCTCATTTCCCTTTGGTTGCTCTCATACCAACAGAGGATTTTAATGCATGAAGATACTTGGTATTGCTCCTTGTAAATGCCATAATTGAACTAGAAAGAATAGACTGATGTTCCCTTTTCATAACTTTTCTCTCCAATCTGTTATTATTTTTAATACTGTTATTTTTAAATTTTGCTTCTTGTCAAACATAGAGTTTAACAACACCACAAGCAACCACCTCCACTACCTAATTGTAGAAGAATTAATATAAAATGTATAAAATCAATTCATCGGGTAGTACAAAGCTGCATAGCTCCATTGATTTTAAGATATCACTAACTGAATTATTTTTTTTGCTCCTAAATCATCTACAACCACAATTTGGCACTTATATTCATCTGCAGACTGTTAAATACTGTTGAAGTTCTGATGTGATAGTACTTTGAAGATCCTAATTAAACTACAAAGTGGTAATTATTGATTGAATCCTGCTCAGCTGATTAAAACTGGTACTACAGAGTAGTAGTATTTTGTAAAACACAAAGATGTTGAAGGAGAGGATTGGAATCAGTGACATGATGCACTGCCATTGCCAAGCCAAATCCATCTCAAATATAAAAAAGTCTAACTCCTCTGGGAATGTCCAGAGGACTAGATCTAGCCTGAACAGCAAATGGATGTACCCCAAAAGACCTGCGTGCCCTTCACCAGTCTGGAGTCAAGTGGCTACAAAAAATAAATTCAACTTGTTCTTCGCTGCTCTGTGCTCACACCCCAATCCTTTCCTTCAGCCCCTCCACACACATGCGGAAGCTAAAACAATATTCTGCCATTCCTCACCCTCCTCCCCTTCACACACAGCCACTAAGGACTTGTTCACACTGTCACAAGGTCACATTATCAGCGTCCTTCCTTTGATTTGAGCAGTCTCTCTTCTGGTTGTGACTGGTGAGTATGAGAATCACTGCATCCGTGCTGGGGAAGAGGAATCCACCACCTTCGTTTTTTTCCTGTCAACTATTTTAACTTGCAAATAAATTAATAAATAGTGACACTTTCAAATACTGGACTTCTTCTTCTGTCAGAATTTTAACTAGCAAATCCCTGGATGGGTCTTTCATTCCTCCCCTTGTTTGGAAAGACAGGAAAATGGGATCTACTGTAAATCTAACATATTCATGTGGAGGGTTTCCCCTGGGGGCTCTCCAGAGCTAAGACCCAGTGCAAGTAAAGCTGTTTCATTACTCTTGTCCGCCTAATGATTCATTTGCGGCCCTCTCCTGCAGTCTCGCCCCGCAGCCACAGGAGCTGGACGAATGCCGGCTAGCCGCTCCTGGAGGGGCCCAAGGACACCATGAATCCCGCCACTCGCAGGCTCTTCGCAAGAACCGCGGGTAGTGGTTCCGTCTGCGGCGTGGGTGGCGCAGGCGAGAGCGGGACTAGGAAGCACTGAGGCAAAGGAAGGAGAGAGCAGATACTCGTGTGGGTGCCAAGGCACTTTATTGTCCCAAGCGGGGCCAGTGACGGTGTCAGGGAAGGACCCTTGGGAAGGCACTGATAAAGAGGAGTGTGTGACAGGAGCAGACATGAGGGAACCAATAAATGAAGCCCAGGGGAGAAGCAAAGGACACAACTGAACCAATAAATATTGCATAGGGGAGGGAAAAGGCTCAGGAGACAAATATCTTAAGTAAGGGATAACTGACATAAAAATTTCTCTAAATAAAGGGGGTGTGGTTACAGTGATGGACAGGGAAACTGGGCAGCATCAGGAGGGAGGAGATAAACTTCTAAGGACATAAGGGGAAGGACTAGGGGATCGGTCACCCTAACAGACAGGTCACTGGCGGGAAAACAAGGGACAAACAACTCAGGGACAAACCATTGTGAGGGAGGAACACGGGAGAAACCGAGAGTCAAACCATAATCTTGACTTATAAAAAATAACCAACTTTACAACAAAACCTGTATGAAACACAAAATGCTACACTCTCCTGCTTAAGCCATCAGTACCTTTGGCCCCCTAGTTTTGTGGTAGAGCATTTCCTGCAGCTGGCTAAATTATCTGTGCTCACAAAGCAATCTAATGCTCTTTTCCCTATACATGAGTAGGTTTCAACCGCAGTTTCCCCGTCACTTTAATGTTTTCAGAATGTAGTAACTAAGTTCACTCATAATTTTATACCAGACTAAGCATCACATATTTTGATTTTACTTGATTCATGGCTGCTTAAAAATTAGAAATGAGCACAAAATCTGAATGAGGTTACTCCTTGCTTTTCTACTCTTAAAATACATGAATTTGTAAACATGCCATTTATCTGTTTTTAATGCAGCCTATGCAGGTTAATTTGTGTCTATGTACAACAAAGCAATGGTTTCTGGAGTGTCACTGGCCACATAGGTGTCACTGGCCACAAAACATGAAAGTATAAATTTGTCACCTGACAGCTTGAAGTGACTGATCACCCAATTCAGACACCACTGTCACCACTTGTTCTAGACATGAAACCTTTGATTTATTCCTGTCCCTCTTCCTCACAGCCTGAGTGAATGGCCTGATCTTGAATGAGTAAGAGCTTTTTGTTGGTGTGACTTTGATGGCACAGGATGAAAATGAAGTATGTTCAGTTGAATGATAAGGAGGAATTGATTTTGCCCAGAAACACCATGCTTTCCATACAGAAACAGACACTGGCATGGAGCACAGCTGTTACAGAAGCATTGATGCAAGGAAAATTAACTTGTGAGGATATTTGCACTGGCAGTGAAGAAAACACTGCAGTGGTATAGCTGAGAGGCTCTGCAGGTTACTCCTTCAGATTGCCGTTGTTTGTCTTCATTCTCCTGTTTTAAAATCGGGTTGTCCTAATTGGAACTGTCCGCCTGAGCTATCCTGTTGTAACAAAAAACCTGAAAGCACAGCTATGTGCTCTGGGAATTTAACAGAGAGGAAAGGCGCCAAATGGGATTTCCCCTCTAAAATCAAGTCCCTGGAATTAAATATTACAGCACAGAAAAGCAATGGAAGTCAAAAGGGGTGGGAATTATAAATTACATGCTTGGATGGCTCATGCTGTCTGGTAGAGTCCAAAGCTTTGAGGATGGGTTGAAAATACCCTGTCACAGCTGGATTTGTGGAAAACCTCTGAGCCAAATGCTGGTTCTATCCATTCGAGTGACAAAGGCTGGAGCTCCTCTGGGATGAGGCTGGCACAGCTGTGTGGAAAGCAGCACACTCAGCTCCACAGCCATGTTTGGTGGGGGCAGAAGCGTTATTTAATCCTACAAATAGATGACTTTTGAGGGCATGGTGGTGTGTAAGTCTCCCTCTTACAAACTGTGGGTCATTAAATGTTTGTCGAGCAGTTTCCATGAACAAGATGTAAAGCGTAGTGCAAGTAGGCTGCTGAAATGAATAAGCTTGATAGCTGGTAGTGCTCAGCATCTTTCCTGCTGTTCCAGTCAATGTAAATTATGGATGTTCTGATCAAATTACTTTTGAATTAAGCAGACCATTTACTCAGTGCTTGCTTTCTCTCTGAAGATAAATGAGAGAGATTCTCATTTTAATCAAAACAAAATACAGAAAAGAAAATCAATTACTATTTAATGTTTTTTCCATCCTTGTGTGATGGAAAGTTTCCAGAGGAACTTGGGCTTAAAATTGCAAAGCAATATAAAATGCAGGGACATGGCTGGGTTTTAGCTATTGGATTTTTTTATATACTATTAGAAAACATGGCTAAGTTGTTTTTTTTTTTTAAGGCAAAAGAATTACTCTAAACAATTAAACAAGAAAAATCAGAATGCAGTAGATTGCTTCATCCAAAAAATAAAAATCTGTTGATACAGATGTAAACCACCTAGAAGCCAAACATTTAGAAAGATCAGTCAGCCCTATATATAGAACAGTGTGAATGTGCTGAATTCATTAATAAATAGCTTCATGGATTAGGGCTTGATAGATGGAGATCTCCATCCAGATGTTTATTGTGATTTGTCAATGGCCTGGTACTTAATCCTCCTGGACAGGAAACAGGAGTCTTTTCTCTAGGATGTCCCCTCGGGACTGTGGCAGTGCCTCCCTCTGGCCTGAATCCTCTCAGCACTGCATGAGGCTGCCGAGGAATTAACCAAGTGGCAGAGGCACGGATTTGCCTTTAACCCTTTCGGTTTCCTCTCAGCTTCAGATGATTTCCTAACCATCTGCCACAACATCGCCGTTTTTCAGTCAACTTATGGAAAAGGAAAAAAGGGAGTCACCCATGTCACCCTGGGGTCCCTGTACCCACAAAATGTGCCGAGGGAGGCACATGGATTCCCATCAGCACTGAGGAGGAGGAGGAGGGCTGTGGGCAGCCTTAAGAGCTTGATGTGCCCCTCTTCACTGCTCAGCATCATGTTTTCATTTTTGTTATGCTGCCACTCCCTGTCAGTGATAGGGATGGCCCAAGAGGTAGTATTTGTGAGAAGACTGATGTCCCCACGGTGTCCTCGGTCAGGGTACCAGAGTGTAGTGTGTGTATGAGTGAGTTTGAGTGTGGGTAGGTGAATGCAGCCCCTGCAGACAGTCCCCCAGCTCATTTCTCATCCTGCCTGTCTGTGGGATGGGTCCTTCATCTTGCTGTGGGACGCTGAAGGACAGCTCCCAGCAGCCACACCTGCTATGGAATGGCACACTGGGTGCTGCAGGGAATGCTAGGTTTTGTTGTGGATATGCAGGATTGTAAAGGACTGATTTCCTGTGTTCAACTTCTGGCTATGTACAAATGTGGACTTTTCAGGGACTGCCTGGTTAAAACATTAGTAGCACATCTCAGGCCTATTCTTCCCTAGTCTGCCTGTCATCCTTTCTCTCCAGTACCTTGGCTTTCTGCTGTGCTTCGAGAGTTTGTCTTTACACTGAGCTGAAAAAATGAGGACTATTAAATAAAAATTGTCCTTTAAAATTCCCTGCTTGGAGTAGATGTTCCTTCCCCTTTAACATCATCCTCCCACTTTCTCTTGTCCCTTTTCTCTGCTCTTCTTTTGTACCCACACACACAGACACTGTAATAGATTCTCAGACCTTTTAAAGCTGCAAAGAAAGTAGCTACAAGTCACTCAAATGCTGTACAAGCAGCTGCATTTTTCTGATCTATCAAATAATAATGTACATTTTCTTCATAGGGTTTTCTGCAAGGCTTTAATCCAAGTGAATTTGGGCAAGTCTTTATTTTTCTTTGCACTTTAGCATAATCCTATCTGCCTTCAAATTCAGGATGTGGACACTGCAACTTGATACTTAGAAAAGCCAGGAACTTGAACTAGAACTTAAATTTGGTATGGTCCCTTCCAGGCATTCCCTGCTATTAATAAAGGAATGGCAGAATGGATACAAACATCTGAGAGGCAGCAAGTCACTGCTCTTCTGTACACTTTATTCTACTCTGAGTTGTGCCCACCATCACAGAGATCTGAGGATGTTTTCTTCTGAAATAATAAATGCTTATTCCTGAGGGAGTGTTTGGAGGGAGAATGCCTTGCTGACAGAGCTGGAAAACCAGAATAGTTTTCAAGTGTGCAAGCCCTTCTCTGGTTGTAATCCCTGATATGCATTGGTAGCAGATCAGCCAATCCTTATTGGGGTGCACAGCTGTGTCTGTGGTGTGTCTGTATTTATCATGGGTTTTGCTAGTCCCAGAGGGTGTTATCCTATATTTTGCAGGTTTAATATGTTATCCCATTAAATAACTGTAAATCAAAGGGCCATTATTTTGAAAGAATTTATCTTCTACATAATTTTGCTTCTAGAAATTACTGGTGTGAGTAAAGCTGTCGTGTATTCACTGGCACACTGGCAAAACAGGTTGGCGATTCTGTGCTCAGTTCTTGGAGATAAAATGCAAGCCACCACTTACAGAAACCATTTAATGCAATTATGGTTTTCTATTTTGGCACTGCTTTTAATATCTTTGGGCAGATTTGATACACAGAGATAATGTTTTTAATTAGGGGGAAGCCACTAGTCACAGTGAATCTAGGTGGAGTGTTTGATGGAGCTATGAGTGGCAACATAAGGATTTAAGAAAAAATGTCACTGTGATGCCAACTGGAAGGCAAAATGGTCACAATCAATTTTGTTAGAAAACCAGAAACTCCACAAGAGTATATATACCTATAGGTTCTAGTCATACAGTACTTATATACATATTTAGTGTTTTTCCCTGCAGACCTTAAGTAGAATAGATGAGTTCATGGTTTGAATGTAGCAAGTAGGATCTCAGCACCGACTGTATTACTGAACTGTAATTGTATCATTGTGTAAAGCTGCTCGCTTCTCTTTAATAAAATGTGCATCTACTGAAATGTTTTAGCCTTGGATGTGAGTTTATGAATGCATCAATGGGAAAAGTGTTTGCAAATGTTAACATGAAAACAGCCCGGCAGAAATGTCGTTTGCTGGCTTGGGAAGCACCTTTTGGAACCGCACTAATTTAGCGAGAAACTCGAGGGAGCAGAAACGGGGAGAGCAAACGCAAAGCAATCCCTTCCATTGTTCTTATTCCGCTGGGGAATGGGGAGGGGGGGACACACGCCAAGAGGAGCCCGGAATCCCGGAGCTTTCAGTTTTGATTTTCATTAGAGGCGAGAGGGGGTGTGCAGCCAGAAGCGCTCGCGGCGAGCAAATCCACGCGCGGGGGCCGCTCCG